GGGGTCCCAGTGACGCTTACTGTGGCTCCCAGGAAGCAGCCGCCAGGTCCCTGCGGCCCCTAAGTACATGGGCGGCCAGGGAAGCTCTGTGCGCTGCCCTCACGCCCACAGCACCGCCCCCACAGTTCCCATTGGTTGCGGTTCCCAGCCATTGGGAGCTGCGGAGCAGCCGCTTGGGGTGGGGGCAGTGCAGGGAGCCTAGGGGCTGCAGGGACCTAGCGGCTGCTTCCGGGAGCCACATGGAGCCAGGGTGGGTAGAAAGCCTCCCTTAGCCCTGGGCCCCCGCTGTGCCACCAACTGGACTTTTAACGGCCCGGTTGGCAGTGCCGACCAGAGCCACCAGGGTCCCTTTTCAACCAGGTGTTCCGGTCGAAAACCGGCCACCTGGCCACCCTAGACGACAGGCAGGCAGAGAGGGGCTCTGCAAAGGCTTGAAAGGAGACAGGCAGTGATTTGCTGCACTAGAGAAGGGGGAGCCCGAGGCGAGATGTAGAGAAAGGGGTGACGTGGCCAAAGCAACAGGGGAGGAAAATGCTCTGCAGCTGCATTCTGAATGGAGCTGAGCGAGGCAGGACGGTGCTTGTCGAAGCCAGAGGGAGGGAAGTTGCAGTGATCAGGGTGTGAGGCCATGGGGGCCTGGATGGGAGCTGTGGCAGGGGTGGATAGGACGGCTGTCTCCTGGAGAAGTTACACAGAAAGAATCAGTAAGATTCAGACACAGCCTGACGTTCAGACAAGTGCTCGTTTCTGCCCGCGTTCCCAGCTGTGTGGGACTCCTGCCTGCTCCCAGCCAGGAACAGCCCCATGGCCTCTCTGCCCCTCCCCTCTACAGTCAGACCACACCAGGGGTGTGTCCGCATCACCCACTGTGCATCCCCTCTGCAGGCGTGGCAGAGAAGCAGGCACCATGGTTCTGGATTCACGTGGTTCTCCCCACTGCCTCTTTGATGCTCATCCTGGTCCTTGTCATTTTGTTGATTCGAATGGAAAGGTGAGTCTTCCGCTGCGTCCCCAAGAGCCCCCAACCCCTGTGCACAGGTATGGCCCTGTAAGGCAGAGAAGCCTTGTTCCCCGGGTGGGTCCTCCTGGCTCAGAGCAGTGACCCAGACCCGCGTCAGCTCTGCGGGCAGGACACAGGGTGGGAGCAGGGTTGGGCCATGAGGACCCACCTGGGGAACAGGGCTGAAGGGCTGAATCAGAGGACACCGACTGGTGCCTGGCTGAGGAGGGCCCCTGGGCCCATGGTAGGTGTCTGCAGCCAGGTTCCAGGGGCTGCCCTTCCTCACTAAACAAGTCCTTTCCCATTCTGCAGAGTCTGGGTTATTCTCATGCCCAGAATCCCCAACCCCAGCAAGAACTTCGATGAGCTCTTCAACACCCACCAGGGCAACTTCCCGGTAAGAGTGCTGGGCCGGGGATGGAGGGGCCGACGGGCCGGGCTGGGCCGGGGATGGAGGGGCCGACGGGCCGGGCTGGGCTGGGGACGGAGGGGCCGACGGGCCGGGCTGGGGACGGAGGGGCCAACGGGCCGGGCTGGGGACGGAGGACCCAATGGGCCGGGCTGGGGACGGAGGGGCCGACAGGCCAGGCTGGGCTGGGAGGGGCTGATGGGCCGGGAACCTGCTCCTTGGGATGGACAGACAGATAGGGCTCAGCCAGGCACCCTCAGATAGGGGCACCTGCTCCCTGGAGAGTTGGGACAGACAGGCTGTTTCCCTCTAGCGCTGGTTCAGCTCCCCTGGGGGCGTGCACCCGTGTCTGCCCCATGCTGCTGCCTGCAGTGTTAACCTAGGGCAGGTACAAGAGCACATGACACACGGACAGTCCCTGGGCCCGGGTCCTGGCCGTCCAGCTGGCCCAGGGGAGTCAGCCTGGACATATGCACAGCCAGAGCTGCCCCAACCTCAGGCCTGAATTTTGGCCCAGAGACTCAGGGTACATCTACCCTGCAAACAAAGAACCACGGGGGCACCTGACAGCTTGCGGGGCTCCCGCTCTGGAGCTAACACCAGCAGTGTCGCTGCTCCTGCTCGGGCTCCGTAACCCAGTGAGGGGGGCTCGGAGCCTGGGCTCCAGGCCAAGCAGGAACGGCTACACTGCTGGGGCCCCGCGTGCCCAGGCCAGTCGACCTGGCCTCAGACTCACCGTCGCAGGGTTTTCGCAGTTTAGGCAAGCGCTAAGGTGCCGCACCCATCAGCCCACCAGCCTGGTCCCAGCTCCCTGCTGGTGCCTCCAGGAGCACGTTGGGTGCTGGACAGGCGCACTGTGACCCTCAGCGCCAGCAGCCGGCTGGCTCTGCCCTAGCGGGGAGAGGGGCCCCTCAGCTGGGCCATGGGGCGGCCCTGGAGTGGGAGCAGGTGGGGGAGTGCCTGCTACAGGGGGCCGCCTTTAACCTGTGTTTGGCTCTCTTGGAGGAATGGGCCGGAGTCTCCAAGGACGTCGTGGAGAGCTTTAAACCCAACTACAGCGAGAGCTTCTGCTACGTCAGCGAGCTATCCCCCAAGGAGGGCAGCACGCCCCTCTGGGAGGGCCGTGACAAGCCGAGAGCCCCCTCGGGGCGCTCCTCGGCCCCAGCCTCCAGCAGCAGCCCTGGGCTGATCCTCTCCAAAAACAGCTACGTGGGAGTGTGACATTACCAGCAGGAGTCGGGATTGTCTGCTTCTATCGCCTCTCCTCACACTGCACCCCCGCCCTCTGTGCCCCCGCCCCAATGCCTCCCCCATCC